CTCCATTCCTGGAGGAATCTGGGGGCTATTGAGATGACCACATTGTCCTTTATAGCGGATCTGGCCAATATCGATTTAGCTTTGCAAGGCCATTGTGCCACAGAGCAACAGGTGTGATTAAGGTATGGATTCTTCACCTGACCCGAGCAGTACCTGAGCTCGAAGAGAACTTCCGCAGGTGGTGTCCCAGTGCAGGCCTGGTCTGCAGAAGCGGCTGTCCTACAAGCCAAGCCAACATCCCTGTGGAAGGCGGCTCCCAGATGTCGAAGGGGCGTGCTCATAACAGTCTAGCCCCTCTTCCCCCTTGCTGCCTTTATTCTCTATGGTGCTGTTGTTTCTTGCTCTACTAGTGAATTTGCTTGCTGGGCAAACTTTTAGCCACCTTTTGGTGGACTTACTGTTTCTGAGTATCCAAAAGAACCCCTGCCCAGTGGCAAAACAACCCAGTCAAAAGGTCATTGCTAAGCTTATTAGTGACAAAGAGAGTGTGGTCTCCTTGGAAAATAGCAGATGAATGGTACAGGTCGCATTTATGTCTTTGGATCTGTGCTCTTCCTTATATATATATATATATATATATATATATATATATATATATATATATATTTATCGATTTATATCCTGCCTTTTTCCTACCAAGGGCTCAAGGCAGCTTACATCATTCTCCTCCTCCATCTTATCCCCACAACAACAACCCTGTGAGGTAGGTTGGGCTGAGAGTCTGTGACTGGCCCAAAGGCACCCAGTTGACTCCATGGCTGAGCGGGGACTCGAACCCAGATCCTCTGAGTCCCAGTCCCATGCTCTTCACCACTATGCCACACTGGCTTATACTTACCAGGATCTACTGGATCACCTGTGTGATTTGCAGCAGTTCAGTAAAACCTTCTGACTCCCAGCTGTTTAACAATAGCAGCACATACATGGCCACCTCTCACACATGCACTTAAATCAGACTGCTGAGAGGAAGAGGCCTCAGCGTGCCCAGGAGACAACCGACGCTTGGAGGAACCATGGGGTCTGGTACGGGCAAGAGATTCCTCAGCCAAGGAAGTGCCCAGAAGCACTTCTTTTCACTCCGAGTGTGCACTGTTGCACTAGCTCTGGGTGGTCATCTTGATGTTCTGGCCAGCAACAAAACAAAACTGAAGTGGTTCCCACAAGCCTTGAATCTGCCATGAGACAGCAAAGAATGAGAAAAGCCAGAAGGAGTTCAGCGTCAAGAAGACTGGATTTACGGTACCCGGGCAGGGTTGGTACTGACCTCTTTGGGTTCAGGACCTCTTCCAGAGTCCCTTCCCTTGTCTCACAGCCACTGGACTCAGCGCCTGCCCTTGTTGGAGGAGCATCTAGGAGCTGATCAGATCTGAAGGCCAAGTCTCATCGTGGTTAGTGGCAAAGTTGGCTCAGAGCTTTCCGTGGAGGTGAGCCAGGGCCGTTACGATGGCCCCTTCCCTTCTTGCAGGAGCATCTGGAATGGGTTTCGAAGCTTCCCTTGTTTGAGGATCAGCAGGAACTGGCTCTAGTTCCTGACCATGGTGTGGAATGTCAGGGAAATTGGTCCCCAAAAAGTGTTTTGATCCCTCACCTTGATTCTGTTAGATTGTTTCTGAAGACTATAACTGTTAATTTGTCACAGAACTTTCTGCAATAAAATAATTTCACTGGTTTAGAGTCTTCTGTATCAGAGTGCTGGAATGTGGGGTTGCAGGACTGAGGTGGCAAAATTTAATCACTCAATATGAAGTTCAGAGCAGAGGGAGAGGACAAAACGGTTTTCAAGCAAGGGATAGGCAAGCTGGTGCCTGCTGGATGTTTTGCACTACAACTCCCATCAGATTCAAGCAACACAGACAATGGCGAAGCTTTATGGAAGTTGTGGTCCAAAACATCTGGCGAGCTCCACCTTGCCTCCCTCTAAAGCTTCAGAAGGAAGAGCAGTTGGTGTCTGGTTTTTCAGGACCTTGGAGACAGCTTCCCGAGTCCCGCGCTGCGGGGTTTCAGGACCTTGGACAGCGCACCAAGCGCGCCAAGCCCGGAGGAGCGACGCCGCTGCCGCTTCCGCGCTTGGGGTGCAACGACGGATCAAGGCCAAAACCCCCGTGACTGCCACTTACTGGAAGCCGGAGAAATGACAACTGCTTCAGAAGAGCAAGCATAAATACCTGCACATTCAGCAAACCTCTACAGCGTATTGAATTTGGGGAACAGGCATCAAAGGAGAGCCTTCAGCCTCCAAACTCTGAGCCCGGTAATAATCGCCACCCCTTTTCTGTATGGTGTGTCAGACAATCAGGAAAGGTCCACTCTCTCCTGTGCTCCACAACACTTGCAAGGTGTAGAATCAGATGTTCCCAAAACAAAGAGATTTGTACTTAAGGCGCAGTGTCCACATAGGACACAGAGCAAAACACCCTTTGGAATGTGAGCACAGGGCTCAAACATCCCTAAATCTGGCAGAGATGGCAAGAAAGACAGACAGACAGACAGACAGACAGACAGACAGAAAGCCAGCCAGCCAGCCCACCTTCTCCCCATTTTGTCTCTTCTTTTGCTATTAGGCAGAGGAGAATTGTAATAAACAAATGAAATGAGTAATAAATCCACAAATCTGGCTTGATTTCATGCTGAATTCAGCTTTCGACTTCTGATGAGGTGAAGGAAGCCCAGCATCAGTCAGGTTGTCTGCCAGGGGTTCTTTGCCTGCTTGATCAGGTTGGTTGCATAGCCAAAAGTGTGGTTTCCAGATCAAGAGAAGTGTTACTACCACTCTATACGACTCTGGTGTGCCTGCAACTGGAGTATTGTGCTCAGTTTTGGGCCCCCTAGGAAGGATATAGCCAGGTTGGAGTCAGTGCAGCGAAGAGCCACACGATTGGTGGCTGGTTTGCAGGGGAAGCTGTATGAGGCGAGACTGAGGGAACTAGGTCTCTTCAGCCTGGAGAAGAGGAGACTCCGAGGGGATCTGTTGGCGACATACAGGTATGTGAGGGGGTGTCACACGGAGGTGGGCAGAGACCTGTTCTCCCCTGCAGAGGAAGGCAGGACGCGCTCCAACAGAGCAAAGCTCAGGGAACCCAGGTTCCATCTGGATGCCAGGAAGCACTTCCTGATGGTTGGGACCCCAAGGGTGTGGAATGGGCTTCCACAGGAGGAAGTTGAGGCCCCATCAGTGAGGGTGTTCAAGGATAGGCTGGACATGCACATGGTGGGCATGTCGTGAGCAGAGCTGGCTGGAGCCGGGGGTCAGACTAGATGGCCTGGGAGGCCCCTTATGGCTCGCTCTGTTTCTATCAGCCACTTGGGATAAAAGCAAGGCTGTTGTCAAGTGAGCCCCTTTAAGCTTCCTGAGCCAAACTTTCCTTCTGAAGCAACACCCTTTGTGGAGAATAAAGGGGCCGCCTTCTGCCCTATCTCCCCCAGACATATTCCTGTCGGGCTCACTGCTTGCATTGGTGCCCTAACTTCAGGGGGTATGAGACCCTTGGAGGCAAACACAACGTCTCACTTCAGCCTTTGATCTGGGGTCTCCGATATGCACGTCTCCCCTGTGGCGGAACTTAAAGATTCAACAGTGGGCGATGTGCTGGGTTTTTCGGAGTGCAGAGTCCTCCGTTACCGACGACCCCAGTCTTTCCATCATATCAAGGAGGACCCATGTCTTTGTTGAGCCTGCGTCTGGAGATTTATAACACACCCAGAAGTTCTACCAGTGAACAGACCTTGCACCAAGAATTAGCAGAGTCCCACAGAATCTGAGCAGATCATATTGGCCAAAAACTCCAACTGCTTATGGAAGCATATTTACCAAGCATTTATGGAGAATCTGTATCTATCAATAATATGGGAATGATTTAAGGTCAGCTTTGCTACTGGAAGCCCACTTTTGGGCAAAGATGCAACTGTTTTTCAGCTCCTTCCAATAGGATAACTGCTCTTTCTAACAGGGATTTGATTCTTCGATATCACATGATGGAAGGTCTGTTCATCACTGTGGTTTTTGTGTTACCCGGATGTGAAATCTAAGAGAATCTGCCATATTCTGGCAGGGTTGGTTAGGTAACAGTGAATTTGAAAAGCAGCTTTAAAAAGTTTCTAGATTAAAACAAGTTTAGTTTATTGTAAAAATAAACACAGCTTTGTAATAACATTGACACATTCTGTTTTTATGAGCAGAGGAGAAAGACAGAAAGAGAGAGAGAGATTAACATAAAAATAAATACTCAATCACAATTATATACAAAATATTCATTAAGCAAGGTTTGTATCATTCAGAAAAAATGAATTGTGCTGATTTAATACACTTCAAAAGACTTCCCTTTTTCCCTGTGGTTTTAACATGAGAAAATTTATTCTTAGCATTAAAAAAATGACAGCCCCTTCCTGTCCCAGAAGGTCCATTAAAGTGCATATGAAGGAGAAGGTGGGTTGAGTTTACCAAAAATGGCCATGTTTGCAAACTTGTCTTCTTGTATAAAATGTAGGCAGTTATGTGCAGATAGATCTGTATTTCTCTTAAACACTAAAGCTAAATACAAAAGCGATTTTGGGAAGGAAAAGAATATCTCTCGCTCGGCTCGGCTCGGCTGGGATCTGGCTGGTGCTGAAAGGCAAGCGGGTCCTCCTAGAGCTGTCCAGGGGCCTGGTGCTGAAGTCCAGGGAAGACCCCCGCAACGGCCGACGAGGGGAGCCCCTCCCTCCGAGGAGGGTCACCGCCCGTGACAGAGAATGGCTTCCAAGTGCTGCCACTTGCCCCAGACCCCCTCCGTTATTCTGCCCCCTGGACGACTTCCACCGTCCCTTCATTCCACAATGATGCTGCCTCCCCGTGCCCCCCCCCCACAGGTGAATCAGCCGGGCAGCCTCAGCTAAAACTCTCCTTCTTTCCTCACTGCAATGCAAAGAGGCCACCTGGTGATGGCCCCCTAACCTGAGTATCTCAGCAGAGTGCCCCAAAGCTCCTTCCTCCAAGAAAGCAACGTGTCCCCACGGCGGGGTGCCTAGAGAGTCCCGTAGGAGAGGCCCACCGTGTAGAACCCGAGGCCCTTCAGCTTCTCCTCTGCCCTGGCTTTCTGCTTCAGGTGGACCTTACTGTGCCGCTTCTTTTCATCGCTCCGGGCAAACCTGCGGCCACAATCATCGCAGGAAAAGGGCTTCTCCCCCGTGTGGGTCCGGATGTGCGTGGTCAGGTGGTCGCTGCGGCTGAAGTTGCGCAGGCAGATCCGGCACTGGAAGGGCTTGTGCCCGGTGTGGATCCGCAGGTGCCGGTTGAGCTCGTCGGACCGAGCGAATCTCCTGATGCAGCTCTGCACCGGGCAGGCGAAGGCCTTCTCGTGGGGCTTGGGGCAGAAGCACTTGGAGGAGCATTTTCCCCGGCGGGACTTCTTCCTTGGCTCTGTGCGTGGGATGGCTGAAGTCCTGCCCGGCGTTACAGCACCGCCGGAGGCACTGGGGGCCGAGGCCAAGAAGTCTGTCATGCCCAGGGATGAGGGGGAGTCGTTGCTAGGGACCTTCTGGTCAGCGGGATTCATCAGCCCTGGCATGACTTCAGGCTGGGGCAGGGTGGATTCGAATTCCTGGATGAGCTGAACTGGGAGGTTGGGGATCTTCGCCTCGACAAAGTCACTGTGGAGTTGGCTGTGGCTGGGGAAGGGATCTGGCTGGCAGCTGAAATCCAGACTGTGTCCAAAGGACCCCGGCTGTTCTGGGAGGCCACTGAGCTCTGACTGGCAGCTGACGGACAGCACGTTCTCTGTTTTCACCCCCAGCTGGGGAAACATGGTCTGGCTTGTCTCGATAGGGTGAAAGGTCTCGGAAGGCGGGTATTCAGGGGGCAGGAAGCTCTGTGGTTGGCCAAGGGGCTCCCAGTGGGAACAAGGAGCTTTGAACTTGTCCAGAGACGGGGAGAGGGAGGACAGCTTAACGTCTTGCTTGCTGTCCAAAAGCTTTTCATTAAACAGACACTGGGAGGAACTTCCCACTTCAGGGGACATTTGGACCTGTGGGAGGCTGTTGGCGCTGGAGAAGGCCGGGTAGCCCTGCTCGGCTAAAGATGGCGGCACAGAGACGTTCAGTTCAGGGTGGCTGGCAGGATAAAGGTCCAGCTGGCTCTGCATGGCCTCGGGGAGGCTGTAGCTGGCCTCCACCGGCCTCTGGTGGGCTTCTGGAGCGGGGAACGGAGAAAGGCCAAGGATCCCCGACATCAGGTTGAAGAGGGACTCCTGGTCCTGGCACTGCTCCGTCTTGATGAAGAAGTTGCCACTGTATCCAACAGGCTGCCCCGAGAGGAAGTAGTAATCCGCCATGTCCTGGTTCATCGTGGCTCCCATAAAGTCATCTGGACAACGGGGAGAGAAGAGGTGTCATTTTTAGGGAAGAAAGGCGCCATCTGGAGGGCTCCGCCTCCGTGATAATGCTTCACGTGCAAAGTTCAGTCCATAGCACAACCTTCCCCAGCCTGGGAGCCTCTGGGGAGTTCAGACTGCCACTCCCAGGGAGCCTCAGCCAAGCCCATATTTGAATGCCACGCATCACTGTCCTTGTCCCAGCCTAACCCAGGAGTTCAAGGTGGATTCCGATCACTTCTGTAATCACACAGGTGTCCATCTGCCTGGTTTTATCCTAGCTCCGAGCCAGGTTAGAGCCGAGATTTCATCTGAGTGAGAATGAGTCAGTCCCCTTTGGAAAGCTCCAGGGTCTAATGGCCCTAGAACAGGAACAAGAACCTGGTCCCCCCCCACCCAACATTTTGGAGTACAGCTCCCATCTGGAATGGCCCACCCAGAATGGCCAATGGCAAAGGACTTTGAGGGCTGTAGTCTAAAATACCTGGAGGACACTAAATGAACTGTTTCTCCGAGACCTCTTGAATTAAGGCAAAACCAAGTCAGTGCTCCTGAGCATGTGAAGTGTGCCTCCCTAAGCCAAGTGACAATTAAATCTCACCAGTCTGAGATTTAGCATTAGGGTTCGCTCCATCAGTCCAGCCATCTTTTGGACCCCAAGTGTGACTCTTGGTGCCGTGAGCTGCTCTTGACAAAAATGGGATTACAATGGGGTGCATCTGGGCCACAAGGGTTCGGACCTTGGCCTGCAGGTGGACCTTTTGCCTGCGAGCAAACCCTTCTCCCTTGACGATTCTTCCCATGCTGTGAGGCCAGAATATTTTCATCTGGCTTCCTGGGCAATATAAGAATAAAGCCAAGCACCGACGGCTCCCATGCTCCAAATCCCCAAATTCCAAGAGCTGTTCTGTCCTGAGATGAGCTGCCTAGCCAGGAGAATGAAGGATCGCTTCCTCTGGAAGCCTGGGGCAAAATGTCTGGGCAGCCAGAGGGCCTCATGGTCCTGGAGCAGGTGGCCCAACTAGATGATCTCCTGGTAGCCTGTTTGTCTCTGTTCATTTTACTCCCCTGCCTGCTCCAGCCACACCATTCTCAGGCCACCTGTGGCTTCTCAGCCTGGGCTAGCCCATATCGAGGCCAGTAGCCCACCTCCCTGCCCAAGCTCAACTTTAAAAATTGATGGAGCACTTTAAAAATTTTAAACTTTAAAAAATTAAATTAAAAAATTAAATTTAAAAATTGATGGAGCAAGGAGAGCTCCAGCGAGATTTCAAGTCAGGGGCCTTTCCCTGCAGCAACACCCAGTGCTCACCTGCTGAGGGCCAAACTCTGCCACCTGGGAGAGAGGCATGGCCCAGGTTCTCGGGGGGGGGGGGCAAAAATGGGGCTCGTCTTTCTCCTTACCTGGAAGGAAGTTGGGGAATCCCTCTGGCGGCTGCTCTGCCAAAAGTTGCGCCGGTGGCGGCGGTCTGGTGATCAAGGCAGCATTGCCGGCTCTCGGCTGGTGCTTGGCATTCAGCAGGTCCTGCTGGTGGGAGAAATCCATCAGGTTCAGCATCTCCAAGTGGAAGCGGAGGAGGAGGAAGGAAGGAAGGAAGGGTGGGGGAGAAGGAGAGGAAGCAGGGATGGAGCAGAGGCCCTGCTGGAGCTCAGGCGGAAGACCCCCGGCTCGCCTGCGTTGCCGGGCCAAAGGACTCCTCCACCAGGTGGGCGACCCTGCAGGGGTGCTGGTCTCCCAGGACGTGGCAGTGAGAAGGCTGCCCTGGGCTGCACCCTCCCGCCTGCCTGCCTGCCTGCCTGCCGCCTGCACGCCTCACCTGGGCTGGGCTCCGCAGGTGCCTTCTCCCGTCTTGTGTTAGTAAGCAAAGAGCCCAGGCGCTGCAGCCCCGGTTTTTATATCTGCCTCTCATCTTCCGCTGCATCCCGGCTCTTCCATTTCTGGAGTTCCCAAGTGAGGCTGTGGTGACGTAAATGCCCATAGATGGACTCAGGATGCGGGCGAGGGAGACCCAATAAGGAAATCTCTCCTGGTGACGTTTTCCCATCTTTCTTGGCACCTCTCTCGCCATCTCACCCCCACCTTCTTAAAAAGCAATAATTCCTTTCTAACTATCTATGACAAAACGATAATGATAATAACGATGTTGATTCTGGGAGACACTGAGCATCAGGACCGTGTGAACAGAAGGAGAGGCTGCGGGACCGACCGGCCACAGGCTGTCTCCGCGCTCTCTCCACTGCCTGCCGAGCCCGTCCTGGAAAGGTGTGGGAAAGGTGTCCAGTGGGGCCAGGTGGAAGGGCTCCCTCCCCGCATGGCTGAGGCAACGCCGGCCGGGCCAAGGGTGCCCCGGGAGGGGAGGTATGTAGGTCACTGGGACAGGGAGAGCACGGCGCAAGGAGGCTGGGAAGGAGAGGGAGGGAGGTGGGGGGAGGCGGCAGCAGAGGCGCGAGAAACGGACCGGGCGGCTCTCCACACAGGTGAGTCATCCCGCGTTTCGGTGGGTGCCTGGAAGCACTCCTGGGCCAAGGAGGCGGGGAAAACGCGATGTGGCTGCTGGATTGGTTGGTTGTCAGCTTGTGGCTCTGGAAAAGACCAGAAAGCCCCGAGCCCCGGACGGCTCTGCCTTCTGGAATCCTTGACTTGGGGGCCAGGGGAGGGCGCGCGGGGGGGGGGGGTTCTGTAGGGACACATGCGGGAACTGGAGCATTTTCGGGGAACGAAGCACCCAGCTCGGTAGCTGCACCCCTTCGATCAACCCACCCAAACCAGAGCGGGGAGCACCAGAGCAGAGAACGGGGCACTAAGAAGGTGCCCCAGAGCCAGTGGACAGGTGGACTAAGAAACCGGGACCCATCCTCCTTGGGTCCCTGACCAAGCTGATCTCGGGTGAAACCCTGTCAGCCCCCTATCTTTGATCATTCAAAGAAGAGATGGTGGGTGAGGAAAAATGGACCCCTCCCAGTCAACCGATAACTCTTGATTATAGAGCCGAACCGGCCTTTCGTGAGGAACTCTCTTTGGGAGCTGTTTGGAATCGGGTTTTGTTACGGCTCTTGATTTGCCTGCAGTTCCAGGGTCCACTCTCTGACATGAGAAGCAAGGATGAAAAAAAATCCAAACATGTGCAGAGTGTTTTTCTTTAATTATGGGATCCATACATTTATACCAGAGCGTAGGACATGGGATGATCACCCCAAATTGTGACAACCCAGGTTCAGGACGGACATCAGGAAAAGCTTCCTCACTCGCAGTCAGGGCAATGTGACAGGGGAACCAGCTGCCTGGAGGGGCGGGGGGCTCCCCCACTCCAGAGACATTCACAGAGGAGCTGGATGGTCCTTGGGCTGGGGTGGGGTAGCTTGGTGTCCTGCATCAGCCGTGGGGGGGGGGGTGGGCCAGGTGGCTTTCTTGGCCCCTTCCAACTCTGCTGTTCTAAGAGTCGGTCACACATGTTTGGAAGGGGCAAGGATGTCTGAATTGCTTACAGATGTGCCCAGCAAACAGGCACGCACCAACAGTGTTTCATGCCCACGCATCATGTGTACATGCACGTGTGGATGTGGCCTGGGTGCCTGCTGCACCCAGAACCAGAGGGGAAGAAACCGGCATGCTCCCAGGACAGAAAGCCACACGTGGCCACAGCAGCCCAAGCTCCAGGTCACAAGGGGAGAGGAGCGCTGACCGACTGGAGCAGAGGCCTCTGGTCACCTCCGATCGCCTCCGAGCCCCCCTCAGTCAGCAAACCGGTGGGGGGAGCCCCTTTCTCTGTGGCTCCCCAGGGACTGGTGCCCCAGGAATCTAGTCCTGAAGCAGGAGCCAAAGCCCCGAGCGCAAGCACACCTGGTTATGGCGAGTAGAATAAACCAAGCCGAAGCCGATGCGCTCATGCTTATGCACAGAACTTGCATGAGGGTCCTGCGCATTCTTCCATGCTATGCAGACAGCTGTGGACACAGGACCGGCGCATTCCTCTCTGCCAGACACGGGGCCGGGCACACAATCCTCTGTGCAGGTACGCAGCTCTCATCATGCACTTGCATCCTTCTGCCTGTGCACTGCACCAAAGAGCATGCCTCGAAGCGGGGGCCGCTGCAGTGCGCAAGCATACATGCAAGCACATGGCACATCACCCAGTACGTGCAGTGACCGCCATGCGATCGACATGTCCGTTTCCCAGGAAGCACTGTACCCAGATGCATGTGCGCGAAATCCACACGGAGGGGGACCCTGCAAGGCACGTGGCTCTTTGAATGGAGGGCAGGTCGGGATAGATGCACCTGCACGATGCTGAGGCGAGAGGGCCACATACCTGGAAGTTCCTTATACCAGATTTCTGGATTCCAGGTTTCAGGGAAACACGCGTGGGCGGCGTTGATTCAGAATTATGCTTTCTAATACAGATGTACATGGCTCATGCAAGTGAGATGTGGCACACGCCATGTGCGAGCGCATGGGGCACACGCGTCACGGAAAGGGCGTGGAAGGCAGGAGGAGGAGGGCCAGGGCAGCGATGGGGCGGATCAGCTCTGGAAAGGAAGCCCCAGCCTAAGCCGTTGTTTGTTTTTCGGCGCCAGGCAAAGACCTTTTTATTTAAGCGTCATTTTAATTGTTAATATTATTGGATTTTATCTGGCCAGGGCGACTTATTTTATATTGTTATTTTTGTGTTTTAACTTTATGTTTACATTTTACAAACATTTTAACTTAAGGTTATGATTTAATGTTTGTATTTTAACTTAATGTATTTGTATTTTAATTTATTGTTGTAAGCCACCCCGAGGCTTCGGCAAATGGGGCGGCATAAAAATGTCCTAATAAATAAGTAAGTAAGTAAGTAAGTAAGTAAGTAAGTAAGTAAGTAAGTAAGTAAGAACTCTGCGGGATGTTTTGGCAAGCTCCCATCCGGCGGGTCGCCGTAAGTCGGAGATGACCTGGTGGCACCGAACAGCAATAGGCAGGCCTGTCAAGGGCTACTAGCCCTAGT